GCTTTGATAGTGATTCTAAAGCACCTTTATTTTTTTCAGAGGTTTTATGTGGCCACCCATATATGTCTTCAATCATATTTCATGGTTAACATGATATGGGACTGCTTGAATAGTTAAGATATATCTAGAAAAATGTAACATTCTGATTAGTTTTTGTAGAGTTCATTTCTTGTTTCTCCCTGATGCTAATAATCTGAGTAGTGATGTTTTATTATGGCCTGCGTTTTTGAGATTTTCTAAGGTTTATGTCAGATTAGTTCATAAATAAGTAAAGAAAAGACACAATGATGCGAATAAGCTCCGTCTATCTTATTTTGCGTATTAAGTGCAGAATCAACAGGTAGAAAAGTGGGGAACATTGTTGAAGCATTGCACATCCGTCAGTCGCCATCAGGCGATTGTCTGCAAAAAAGTCGCAATTTGGGAATAACATGTTCGATTCTTGGATAGCCTAGAAAACAAGAATGCGACTTTGATATGCATGGACCTCGGTTTTTCTAAAGGACCTTGGAATCAAAGAGTCATCAAAAGCGCAGTTAAAAACTGCAATATAGCAAACTGTTCATTCTATAGCTGATTGTGAAATAAATGAATAGTTCGATGGAGGGTTTACACATTAGCAGGGTTACATGTTGGAATTGATGGTGGGCGACCTACCTCTGCTTTTCTTATATCTTCTTATAATAGGCACAATTATGCTGCACGAAAATGTTCAAGCTTCCAAGTACTCTCTTAATTTACTTTCTTCAGAATGGCCTACTCGTTCCTCCTATATCGACTGATTCCTTTGTTTTATTCGTTGTGCGTGTTGTGTTGCTTGCGATGTATGTTGCTAATGGTACGAAGGAAACTTACAAAATAGTCTGTGTATGTGCTCTTTTTCCTGATTATGTGCATGTTTGACTTGTAAACCTGATAATGCTTAGATCTAGGAGGATGTATCTTCTTAACCTCCGTGTAGACTGTTGACGTGATGTCGTATTCTCGCGATATACTATAGCTCTATCGCATAATGTCAAACCGTTG